TGGTCAAAAATTAAGTTGGAGACAAATATTTACTGCAGCTTTTCCTGAAAATCAGATACCCGATCCTTGAGAGAAGCCCAGGAAACCTGAAACAGCAAGCAAGGGGGATTGTCGCTCCCTGGTTTTTGGTGTAGCCCCCCGCAAGAAGGACTAACTCTACTTAGATGGAGCAGCTTAATTGGCAATCCGAAGACATAGCAAGGGATCCAGCTAAATCTGCAAATGGACAGTAAGGGAGCCAAGTAACTACCAGCAGAACAGACAGCGCATCCCATAATAATTCTCCCACTTTACAAAATTGGTTTTGAAGAGTTGCTTGATGAAGATTAGGACGTGAGAGAACTGTGATGTTAGCGATCACTGGGGTCACTGTATTGTACTATGGAAAAGAAACATTTGGGATTTTCCCCCCATCCCTCTTCTCTGCTTTACAGATCCACCAGTTGTAATCTTGTCGGTACAGCCACAAACTGTGCCTGAGGGTGGCAAAGTCAATTTTCTGTGCACCGCAACCTCCAATCCCGAAGTGACAGGTTACCGGTAAGCATTTGAAGATGAAGGAGCTGCAAGCTCTAAAGTTCAAGTGGAGAAATTGTGTGGTTGAGGTGCCCTCTAATGGCAACATGGAGGATCGCATGCTCACTTATACAGGTAGTCCTCACTTACCGACCACAATTGTGACCAGCAACTCTGTCACTAAGCGACGTGGTCATAAAGTGAAAGTCATGTGACCGCACCTGACTTATGACGTCAGTTTGTCAGTTCTGGCTGCAGTTGATAAGTGAATCACCCACAGTCATTAAAAGCAACGTCACATGACCGCGAATTGCAACTTCCTGCTGGCTTCCCCATTGACTTTCTTGTCAGAAGCCGGCTGTGAAGGTCTCAAATGGTGATCACGTGACCACAGGACACTGCAACTGTCATAAATGCGTGCTACCTGCCAAGCACCCAAATCATAATCACGTGACCACAGAGATGCTGCAATGGCTGCAGTTTCAAGGACCAGTCATAAACCTCCTTTTTCAGGACTGTCATAACTTCGAATGGTCACTGAACAAGCAATTGGTAAGTGAGGACTACCTGTACTGGCCAGCTGATGTGTAAGAATTAGCCAGTGTGGATCAGTTCAAAGTTATGCTGCTGCTGCTTTCCGCTTGTGTCCTCTAGTTTTCAGAAGCGTATGGTGACTGAATCTAGTGATGATTCATAATCCAAATGATTAGTAATCACTGATAGCCTTATCCTCCACTGATTTCTTTGATCCAATTTTAAAGCCTTAACTTGGTAGCCACCATCCCATCTTGTCGCAGGAAGTTCCCCAGGAGAAATGGGCATTGCATGAAAAATTCTCTATTTGTCTGCTCTAAACCTCCAACCATTCAGCTTCATTATGGACTTTGGCTTCTAGTATCATGACAGAAAAAGAGTAACTTTCTTGCTTTCACACCTAAAGCTTTTCCCCCTTTGCTCACCTCTTAACTAAATTAAAAAGGCCCTAATGTCACAACTTTTTCTTCTAGGACAAACTTTCAATGGCCAGGGAGCACACTTAACTTTTTGGGTGGAAGGGTGGCAGGTTCTAATGAGGGGGT